TGTAATTTTTGTTAAAAATTTTGTTTAGACCAAAAAAAAATGCTTCTTTTAAAAATTGCTTGAGAATTGCTGGAGAACATGAGCTGAAATATTTTCCACCGAGAGTGGCTGCTTCTTATAGTGGAAATACAGACATTACTTTGATTTCATTGAGTATAAAAACCAAAATATTGCTGTGAAATGCAGTCTATGTCCAGTTTGCTGCTTTTAACTTGACCAGCAAATTGTTTCAGCACTTGAATAGAAAGCATTCTACGGCCGTTTACATATCTACATATATATTACGCATCCTTTGTGCGTGCATATTGTATTTTCCCATGTGCGCCCAGATGAAAACCGCAGGTCACGTGACAAGAACTGACTGATCAGCTCCATACTTTGTCTGAGGTAATTAGTCTACACAAATGTGTATAATCCATACAACCACAGAATACCCAAACACTGCAGTGCTTTTGTTGAGAGAATGTTAAGTTTTGCGTGTACTCTTTAAGCCTTTTGAATATGTCAAGCTGCTGTGATCAACTTATTGTAATGTTTTTCAGTAAATATTAAATTAATGACGGAGGGGCAGTTTATTTGGTATTTTTATAGGTATATTGTATATGTTTTAAAACTGCAAAGTAAAGATAATAGTAATCTGATACATTTTTACATGAAGTACTTAGTAATGTAATCAGATTACAATTTTCGAGTAGTCAATAACTGTAGACTGTTAAAAACAAACAAAAAATCGAATCAAAATTTTTTGATGATGCATTTAACACTGAACAGTTTTTTGTCACTGTTTGTTTCATTAATACAGAATATTAATATCAGTCATAATGTAAATAAGTATTAGTATTGTTTGTTAAAACACTCACGCTTTGCTAAAAGCTTGAGGCAGCGAATCAAATCTCATGTGGCTGTGGGTGGAGCCACTGAAATGGTGGGCGTCAACCTCCTGAACAGACGTGTCACCCTGACAGGAGTCACGAGCCATTCGACTTCTCGAATTTCCAGGAGCATTCTGCAGTATTTACACAAATACACAGATTTCATGTGTGATTACTAAAAAACATTATCATGCAACACTAAGAATTAAAATACATAAATAAATAATAATGCAACATAAAAGTAAAAATAAAAATAAAAACAGTGAGGCAATAATATACTGTAATATTAATAAACAATAAAATAATATGATAATCCTTTTATTTTAAATCTTTTATTGTAAATTTTAACACTAATAAAGTAAAACAAAAGAAAAAAATTAAAATAAAACATTAATATAAATGAATATTCATTAAAGCAATACGATAATGCTTTTTATTAAAAAGAATTCTATTAAATGAAGTAAATAAATAATAGTAACAAAACACTAGCAAATTGAAATCCAATTCTAATGAAAAACGTGATTAAACTAATGATAAACATTAAGATAGATAGATAGATAGATAGATAGATAGATAGATAGATAGATAGATAGATAGATAGATAGATAGATAGATAGATAGATAGATAGATAGATAGATAGATAGATACAATGATATACTGTAATAGAAATCATTAAAATAATATGATAATGCATTTAATGAAAAATGTTCTATTTAAAATAAACAAAATAAAATAAATTAATACACTAAAATAAATAAATGAAATAAATGTGAAAAATATTTAAAATAAATAAACAAATAAAAATATATGAACAAATAAATAAATAAAAATATAATATAATATAATATAATATAATATAATATAATATAATATAATATAATATAATAATAAAATAAGTTAAATCTTTTCAGCAGCACCTTCTTTGGCCGTGGAGAATTTAACATCTGCAGTGGGGCTGAAGCATCAGGGCAGGTGAATGTGTATTTGCGTCCCTCTAGAGCTGTTTTCAGATCTTCTACAATCTGTGGTTCGTTCGCTCTAAAAACACACAAGTAGAAATGCTGACAGCAGATCTAAAGACAACCTTTCATTTAATTTGTATAAGATGTAGCGTTCACTAGCGCTAGCTCCATCAGTCTAATTCTTAAAGTCTTCTCGGCAGTACAAACCTCTTGATGAAGAAGTTGCTGATGCAGCCGGTGAGGTTGGTCGGACCGTTTGACTCCGGTGTCCCGCCAACATAGGTAAAGCCTTCCTGCAGTGCGTTTCTTCTAGTGGTTACATTACCAGTTTCTCCAGAACTCTCGAGCACATCGTCTATATAAATGCTCAACCTAAACAAAGACAAAACTGTTTAGAAACTCAAAGACAAACACAATTATAGTATACAGTTGAAGACAAAAGCTGCTTTTCCACTATCGTGCCGAACTGTTCTAGACAACCGTGCTGAACTGTGCCGACAGATTCTGTGTGTTGACGTCGCGGCTCTGTTGCCAAATGACCACAGCTGGCTCAGTGGAAGTGTGCTAGTCATCAGACATCCACAAGTAAAGAACACTACATTTAATATACTATATTAATATAGTATATTATAGTATACTATAGTAATATATAATATATATTTAATGACTTGAATACAATTAACCATGTATAATATAATTACTAACAAAGACTCAGAACACCCTAGCACAGGGGTGTCCAAATTCGGTCCTGGAGGGCTGGTGTCTTGCATAGTTTAGCTCCAACTTCCTTCAACACACCTCCCTGGATGTTTTTTAGTATACCTAGCAAGAGCTTGATTAGCTGGTTCAGGTGTGTTTAATTGGGGTTGGAACTAAAATATGCAGGAGTGTCCAGCATCCCACCAGGACTGAGTTTGGACACCCCTGCCCAAGCAAGACCTTAGCAAGCACTCAGAACACCCTATCAGCCACTTTGCAACCACTCAGAACCACCTGTTGCACAGCAAAAAACATACTAACCTAAATGTACTTAACTGTCTATGCCAGCTGTTTCACACTTCTGAAAACTACTTCAATTATTTAAACTTAAACCTAGTTAAGCCTTTAAAATGCACTTTAAGCTGAATACCAGTGTCTTGCAAAATAACTAGTTAAATATTATGTACTGTCGATATGGCAAAAACAAAAAAAAAGTTTGTTTTTTTTAATTATAAAATAATTATTAAAACTATTACACTCAAAAACGTGTTTAAACAAATCTTCTCTCAGCACTTGGGAAATATTAAAAGAATAATAAAGGTTTAACAGGAAGGCTAATAATTTTGCCTTCAACTGTGTAATGAACAATACAGTGTCTATATGAATAATGAACATATGGAGACGTACACATTTTGGTCGCGGTAAACCGCAACATAGTGATTGTTGTCATCGTTGTACGTCTTCTGAGACTTGACTTCCTTTCTGTCAGTGCTGACCAGCACATGACCGTTGTCTAACATCACCTTACACACATTATCCTGAGGAGACAAATCACAGCCATCACCAAAACACATCCCTCATCATTTTTTCTTCTGTTGAACACAAGAGAAGATATTTTGAAGAATGCTGGGGAAAATAAGCAGCCGTTGGCATCCATAGCAGGAAAGGAAATTACTAAAGAAGTTAACGGGGTGCCAGCATTTTTCAAATGATCTACTTTTGTGTTTCTACAGAAGAAAGAGTCTCAAATAGGTATCGCGTGGGGTGGTTAAATGTTTTTCAAAATAGTTTTTGCGTGAACTATCCCTTTAAGCATTAATCATACCTTGTTTTGATGGTAAAACATAAGACCGTTTTGCTGATCTGTTCTGAAGCCAATGCCGCCGTAGAAGCTGTTTGCCAGATCCACATAATCCATCTTCAAGCCCAGGTAGCCTTCACCAGTGAAATGAGCCTCACGAGTAAACTGGTAAACACAAACGCACACACAAGCACAAGTCTGAATACAGCAGAGCTCACATGTAGAGGGAAAAATACAGTCAGGAATTTATAAGATCTAGCTCTGAATCTGAATTATTATGCATCCCAATTAAATTTGATGTTTCACAAAAGAAATAATGTTCCTTTTGTACAATTTGGTAACACTTTAAAATAATAATCCATTATTTAATGTTAGTTTATGTGTTTACTAACATGAACAAACTATTACTTTCATCTCTGTTGCTGTTTAAGATAAAATACATTAGTTCAATGTTAACTCACTGTGGATTAACTAATGTTACAACTTGTTGGAAGTTAAAAGTTAAACTTTTGGATCATAACAATGCATTAGTTAATGCTGAATTATGATTAATAAATGTTTTACAAGATTATTTATAGTTATTGTTAGTCAATACATTGGATCATTATTCTAATGTGTTACCATTTATTTTTATATACATGTAGGAGGTCATTGATTAAATAGTGGGGGAAATAAGTATTGAACACGTCACCATTTTTTTCAGAATCCATTTCTAAAGCTGCTGTTGACTTGAAATTTTCACAAGAATCAAAGAAATTCATATACGCAAAACAAATCTAATTAGTTTACAAATTAAGTGTAATAAAAAAAGATGGGAAAAATGTACTGAACACATGAAGAAAGGGAGGTGTAGAAAGACATGGAAAGCTCAGACAGCAGCTGAAATCTTTCAGTAGTTCTTCAGTAACCCTCTGCCCTTTGTCGTTGTAAATTAATATCAGCTGCTTCAGTCTGACATATACATTAGCAGGATGATGAAGATGAAACCAGGGTGGACATTTCAGCAAGACAATGATCCAAAACACAGCCAAGGAAGCTCTCAAATGCTTTCAGAGAAAGAAAATCAAGCTATGAAATGGAACAGCCAAAATATAAATATAAAATATAAATTTAAGATCAGGGGTCATTTTCAGAAAGGAGGTTAAGTGAAAACTCAGAGTATTTTAACCCTGAAATGAGAGAAACTCTGAGTTTTCCGTTTCAAAATGGCAGGTTTGTTAAACTCGAGAAAGCAGGTAAGTCAAGCCTGTTTCTGAAAGAGAAGTAACTTTAACTCAGAGTCAGTTACAGTTAACTTACTCTGTGAACCTAACCTGGTCAGGAGCAGGTTTTATTCTCTAATCTAAGAGTTTCTGTCTGTCTCCTCCCCTTTTTTAAAGACAAAGCAGTATTTCTCTCTTTAGCCTTGCGTTTTCAGCCACCCATTTTAATGCTCATTTTGGAGTAGCGCATAAAAAACGATTGATGGAAACTACATGATGCACATAACTTTTGAAAATTTGCATAAAAAACGTGCATAACTAAGTAGGAAAAAATTTTATTCAATAAGAAAATATGTGCATAAACTACCATGGAAACACTTTTACTAAACAAATTACAGAAGCCTATACATTAAAAAAAACGTTTGTTATAAGAGATGATGATGAAAATGTGTGTGAATGGACAAACCAGCAGACTGAGCACACTCTAACACATAATAAATGTTGCTTTGGTCTTTCATTAAAAAACGCCTTAAACGTTTCAGTATTAATGTTATTATATTATTAATGACCTCCAGAGTGTCTGGAGCATGTCAAGAGCGTCTGTTCTCCGCGTCTCATGGCTTCAAATGCCCCGATACGTGGTCGTTGTGTCAGCATTGTCTTCTGAGCTGCAAGTACATTTATTAAATATAGAAAAGATTGACGCAGCTTCTTCTACCGCAGTAAATTCTGTTTTTAATGTTGATATTTGGCACCCGTTTAATCAGGAAGTGACGAGTTTGTTCTCTTTGATGCGTTGGATGGAAAAGCTGCTTTATTCGCACATCTTTTATGCGTTATTCCAGTTTTTCACATACATTTAATTAAAATATTTGGATGGAAACAGCTATTAACTACATTTCAGTCACAAAAAGAACAAAGTCACGTTTGAGAATGGCTTGTCCTTTTTTAAATAAATAATTAGCTTAAATTCACTGACCTTCAACAGGGACATTTACAGTTACTAGATTAATGATATTATTATTCTTTCTAAAAACTATTGTTTAGTTCTGTTTACATTCTAAATACCATATCAACCTTTATAACTTGATCAATAAAAAAGGCAGACACAAGTGCACTTTTAAATCTATTAACACTGATCAACGTGTATAAAGTAGGAACGTGTGTAAAAATTTAATAAATGTCACACATAACATTACTTATTAGATTGTACAGAAATATTTAAATACTTTAAATGTAAAAATGCGCATTAACTTGAGCTGTTGTTCCACGCTAACTCTGTTTCACTGATGCAGTTGTGTTGCTTTTAAAATATATGGTCATATTTGCTAGAACTTTGGATGAAAAGAAATGCTGATCTCTTTTTCAGATGTTGCCATGGTCACTCGTAATATCTGCACTCTATTGATAATGCTTTTTTATAGTTACGGTGTGCGCGCTTGACTGAGTTGGTCTACTTAAAGTTGATTGACCTAACTCAAATACGCTATTCTGAAACCAAAACCGGGTTTTTAATCTCTCGATTAATCAACTCAGAGTTCAAGTTTAAACTCCGAGTTGGTTGAACCTCTTTACTGAAACAGGCCTCAGATTTGATAGACGAGACCAACATAAGCATCAAGATTATTACACTCTGTTGAAGTCACTGTATAAAGAAACAGCAGAACGACTTATGCTGATATAAATTAATTTAATAAATTATTATGTTTAAAATCTGTTCTAAAATACATTGGTTATGTTTATTGAAGTTACTCGCTGCTTGTTCAAACTACTCATTTAAAAGTTGAAACGACAGAATTTTTAAGGTTTTTGTTGGGACAATTAAATTGTTATAGATTCTATCCCCCTAAATGTATAAAAAAGTATTAGGTTAACTTGATCGATTTGTGTTGGGACAACATGAAGAAATGGTGTGGAACCCAGCATTTTATTTACAATGAATGACAAACCAGTCCATTTGTTTAGGAGTTTAGTCAGTGCACTATTCGGTGCTTCTTAATGTCTGTGGTATTTAAATGCTTCTGTTAGAAAGCATTTGCTATGAACACCTAAATTACTAGTGTCTGTAATCTCATCTTGTCATGACAGGACACTTGTAACTAAGCAAACACTAGTATGTTCCCCTCATCCCAGAAGAATGTGAATGTTCCTGAAGCATCAGCACAAGTGAATAAAGTGTAATCTCTCACCAGCAGGTCATCTGGACAGCCAAAGCTGATGCCTGAACTCTTCATGGTCTTTATCTGAACAAAGCTCCCCATGGACTTAATGATCCTGAAGCAGCCCCTGATGGAGCCATGCTTGAGATAGATGCTCTTCAAACTGCAATGCCACAAACAGATGGTTAATTACACAACCTGTTGACAACTGCACACGCACACACACTGTAAAAAGCGATGAGTTAAAAAAAGTTAGTAAACTCATTGGATTAAAAGCAACAAGGTGATTTTAATTTTAAAAAGTAAGTATTATCATAGATTTATCTATCCAGAAACCTTTTTACACACAGTGCATATGGAAGTATTTAATGTTACAGCCTTATTCCAAAATGGATTAATTTCCTTTATTTCCTTTAAATTCTACACACAATACCCCATAATGACAATGTGAAAAAAAGAGTTTTTGAAATTGTTGCAAATTTATTAATTTATTTATTAATTAATTTATTATTATCTTTGCTCAATACTTTATTGATGCACCTGTGGCAGCAATTACAGCCTTACGTCTTTTTTAATAAGATGCCACAAGCTTGGCACACCTGTCTTTGGGAATTTTTGCCCATTCCTCTTTGCAGTACCTCTCAAGGTCTATCGGGTTGGATGGGAAGCGATAGTGTACAGCCATTTTCAGATCTCTCCAGAGATCTTCACTAGGATTTAGATCTGGGCTCTGGCTGGGCCACCCGATGACATTCACTGGGTTGTTGTGAAGCCACTCCATTGATATTTTGGCGGTGTTCTTTGGGTCATTGTCCTGATGTAAGATGAACCATCGCCCCAGTCTGAGGTCAAGAGCACTCTGAAGCAGGTTTTCATTCAGGATGCCTCTGTACATTGCTGCATTCATCTTTCCCTCTGTCCTGACTAGTCTTCCAGTTCCTGCTGCTAAAAAACATCCCCACAGCATGATGCTGCCACCACCATGCTTCACTGTAGGGATGGTATTAGCCTGTTGATGAGCGGTGCCTGGTTTTCTCTAAACGTAACGTCTGGCATTCACTCCAAAGAGTCTCATCAGACCAGAGAATTTTGTTTCTTATGGTCTGAGAGTCCTTCAGATGCCTTTTGACAAATTCCAGACAGGGAGTGGCTTCTGTCTGGCCCCTCTACTATACAGGCCTGATTGGTGGATTGCTGCACAGATGGTTGTTATTCTGTAAGATTCTCCTCTCTCCCCAGAAGAACGCTGGAGCTCAGACAGAGTGACCATCACGTTATTGATCACCTCCCTGACTAAGGCCCATCTCTCCCGATTACTCCGCTTAGATGGCCGGCCAGCTCTAGGAAGAGTCCTGGAGGTTCCAGACATCTTCCACTTGTGGATGATGGAGGCCACTGTGGTCATTGGTACTTTCAGAGCAGCAGAAATTTTTCTGTAACCTTCCCCAGCCTTCTGCCTCGAGACAATCCTGTCTCGGAGGTCTACAGACAATTCCTTTGTCTTCATGCTTGGTTTGTGCTTTGGCATGCACTGTCAACCCTGGGGCCTTATATAGACAGGTGTATGCCTTTTCAAATCATGTCCAATCAACTGAGTTTACCACAGGTGAACTCCAATTAAGCTGCTGAAACATCTTAAGAATGATCAGTGAAAACAGAATGTAGCTGTGTTCAATTTAGAGCTTTACGGCAAAGGCTGCATGAACATGTGATTTTTCCGGTTTCATTCATTCATTCATTGTCTTGTCAGCTTAGTCCCTTTATTAATCCGGGGTCGCCACAGCGGAATGAACCGCCAACTTATCCAGTTTTTACGCAGCGGATGCCCTTCCAGCCGCAACCCATCTCTGGGTCATTATGGGGTATTGTGTGTAGAATTTTGAGGAAATAAATGAATTTAATCCATTTTGGAATAAGGCTGTAACATTAAAAAATTATGGATGCACTGTATGATTTCGAAATGTTCAGAGGTGCTTGACAATTTATTTATAGTTACAAAATTTTTCTTCCCTAAAGATCCTGTATTGTTATTGTTAAATGATAACTCTCAATTTCCCAATGCAAAGGTCCGTAAATTGTGGTCCATAAACAAGTGCTACAAAGTAAATGCTGGTACAAAGGTGATCTATCTGTTCTTTAAACATTCAACACGTCATCAGAACAGATTAAACATACTAAACTGGACTTTTTGGCACTGCGAAAAATCTATAAATGCGAAATCAAGGAAATCTGCGACACTTAACCCTCATCTGACACTGTGAATGTCAAACTTAATGTAATTTCTTTTAATCCTTGGTCTAAACTACAGTTATCATGTGATCCCTGATGTGCATATGATGGGATGGGGTAAATATATGAGGTAGTAGCTGTTAAAGGTACTTTTCAGTCTGATTGCAAAATGTTATGTTCATTTTGGAAATAAAAACTGAATTACAAAACCCATTGACTTAACTTTTATAACTATGCACAGTTTGTTTATTTAATAATATAATACAAGGCCACAAGTGTACTCTCTTTTTTAAGTAAAGTCAACTAATCGCCTTTTACAGTGCCGCTATTGAATGTAAATATCTGCACGCTCACTCATTAGGCATCTCAGCTTCTGGCACTCCCCCTAAGAAGTATCTTCCTGTGAAATTGAGTTCTTCGCTGTAAAGTGTATATAACGTCTCACGATCCAGCCTCACAAGCATTTTCATGTTGTTAAGTTGAAGGATGACTTGCAACTGAAAAAAAAAAACACAATGAATAATTCCATAAAATCAATTGAACTTAAAAAGATGGTGCTGATGCTGGCAAGAATATATTGAATAAATAGTATGTATCACTTACAGTTTTTTTGTCAGCATTGCTGATTTTTGTTGGGTTGCCTGGTCCAGGCATCAAACTTCCCTCAACGTTATAAAAGACCCTCAGAAAGCCATCAAGAACAGCGATGGTCACGTATTTATCCTAAGAGACAGAGAAAAAAATGACATTAATAAACGATAACGTGTATCTACATTTCACAAAAAATTCTCTATTTTAATCTGGAAAATTCTAGCAGCCTGGATGTATTATTTACAGGGCGTGTTGCCTTCATGATTAAATTAAGATTTTGAGCTGTCTTGTTTTTTCAACTAATCTTTTTTGTCATTATGTTTAGGAATCATTATTATTAAATTAAAGTGTGTATGCTTGTTTTTTGTTCGGTAACCTGTTTGGATATTAATAAGATAATTTTTTATAGTATCTGTGAGACAAATTGCTATATATATATGTGTGTGTTTTATGATACATCAAAGCCTCTTGCTGATATTACTGATTTAAATCAACCTCGATGTCTCTGACAGTCAAAAAATGGACTTGGACTTTATGTAAAAATGCCTTGCCATATTGATAAAAAATATAATGCTTAAGCGTGAAACTGAACATGCAAAAATGGCTTGCTATATCAGTAAAAAAAAAATTACGTTTTTGTAAAAATGGCTTGCCATATCAGTAGGGTTGAGTATTGTTTGAAGTTATTTCAATACCGGTGCTAAATTGATACTTTTAAAACAGTACCGGTGCCAAAATAGTGCCTGAACCAATACTTTTAAACCACAAAATTATGGATGACTCTAGAAAAATATTTTTTTTGACAAAATCTTTTAAAAAAAAATTTGGTCCCACTTTATATTAAGTGTCCCTAACTACTATGTACTTACATAAAAAAAATAAATACAATGTACTTACTGAGTTTATAATGTATTTGAGAACACCTGTGGTGCTTTTGAGTTGAAATAGAGGTTGGGTTATGGACAGGTTTGGTGGCATGGGTAGGATGAAGGGTAGGTTAAGGTGTAAGGGATGGTCAACAGTGTATTTACAAATGCAATTACAAAAGTTAATTACAGATGTAAATACATACATGTATTTAATCAAGCATAAGTACACAGTAAATACATTTACACAACAAGTACATTGTAACAAACTATTAATTCCTATGTAAGTACATATTAGTTAAGGCCACTTAATATAAAGTGGGACCAAAAATTTTAATAGAACAATATAATTAAAGTTTAAAGTAAACATCAATTCATGTTTTATATATTTGAATTACATTCATATATTTCCTTTGATCATTTGTTGGTTAGCATGAACCTAAATTTTGCATTATGAAATTACATTAGCTTACTACTAACCTGTGGAGAGGCTGTTATCAAAATACTGAACTCCTTTTTTCTAGAGTTTGGGCTTGTGACTATGTTTACATGGTTATCAGTAATCTAATGATGTGCCTTAATCTGAATAAGACAATAATAAGATCAAGATGTTTACATGAGTTGCTTTTTGCTTTTTGATCCCGTCTTGCAAGTATAGTACATAGATCTATTAATGTCATTGTGTCACCACGCTATCCATGTTTCAAGTGCCATTTCAGCCGCTTGTATCCGAGATCTTGTCCTTTCGATCATGAACCAAAGCACATGACCATAGGTGAGAGTAGAAACGTAGATTGACCGGTTAATCGAGAGCTTTGCCTTTTGGCTCAGCTCCTTCTTCACCACAACAGACCGGTACATCGACCGCATTACTGCTGCCGCTGCATCAATCCGCCTGTCGATCCCACGTTCCATCCTTCCCTCACTTGTGAACAAAACCCCAAGATACCTAAACTCCTCCACCTGGGGTAAGAACTTTCCTCCAAATAAAAAGCTGAATCTCACCTCTCTCTGGAAGGACAGCAGAATGCCGTTTTGCGAGATGAGTCTGATGGTCTGGTCAAAGGTGCGGTCGCCCTTCTGAGTTTCGAACAAAACCTCAACATAGCCAGTACCGTCAAAATACACTCCGTCAACCACCCATTCAGGCGTGTTTGCTGGCCTCTTCCTGTTTTAACACATGAGGTTACACAAAAGTTTAAACACAGGTAATGCTATGTGATCTATAATAAATGAAAGCCCTCTGACCGTGAACATGGTGCATCAGTTGTGGTGTTCATGTCGAAAGTTTGCTCAAAGTTATAGAGGCTGATTAGCTCTTCATTTATACTGAGCAGCTCCACGTAGCCCTTGAAGAAGTCTAAAGGCGACGACAGGTTCAGAGTCCCTGGAGGCTGTGTGTGTTTGAGAGAAAGAGAGAGAAGAAAGATTGAGATTGAGGGATGTTTTTTAAAAAGATAATTCTAGAAAGAGACAAAAATGTTCTATTCTCTATTTAAAAATATGACATATACAGAGATACATACAATGCACAGCATATATGAGTACACACCTCACAGATCTATTTTTTTTAATTTAGATTTTCTATAAGACGCTGTACAATACTAAATTTTTGCATAAACATAAGATTAGTCAGTATTGAAACCAAATGTAGTACATCCAAATGTACATGTTTTTCCAAAAAATGAAATAGAAATGTGAAGAAAAATAGGTAAAATCAAGAAAAACAAAAATATCTAAATTTAGTTTACAGTTTGTAGTCTGTAGGGTTTTTGCTCAAAATTTTGCTTGAATTTAAATGTATTTTCTTTTTTTATTTATAAAGATGTTTGGTGACTTAAATATTATTTTAATAAATATATACGTTCAATAAATCTGCTATGTTCAAATGCACCAAAATATATTACCTATATTTACTGAGAAATGGATAAATGGATAATGTATTTATGCTGAGCACTGTAAATCATGTATCTGTAAATCTGTAAATGCTGTATTGTATGGAATAAAATCACTGTCATAAATATTTAGTGCGTAAAAAAATCCACGCATCCGTTATTATAAAATCGTAAAGGAAAACGGAATGTAGTCGTAATTTTACGAGGGTACAATTTCAAAATCTGAGATTAGAACAGACTCAGATACGACATTTCCTTTGTCTGTTTGAATATAATTGATAAATTTACAATGGGTGTACTTTACAAACACGAAACAGTTTCACCACGGACACGAAGTCCTGATTACGAGTACGAATCAAAAAGCGACATTCCACTGTCAAAATTACATCACCGCTGTCACAGACATCAATAAACAAGCAAGAGTCATCGATCACAACGGCGCACCTGCTGGGTACTCAGAGCCCCCACACACCGTAGCAGGTAAGAGTTTTGTTATTCCTTCTTTGAGAAATGAGAATCCGTCATGAGCTGTAATAAAGGTTGAGACTTAATGAGGTCCATTTTCACTGTGGTTCTTGGACATTTTATAGAATCAAAATTAAGAATGGGCCGAGGATAGTGAGCTAGCATAATGTAAGTTAACATTACAGGCAGCGAGCGCAGTATGAGTGAAACCATAACATGACATCTGTTGATTAAGTCACTGTTGTGATCGATGACTCTCGCTTGTTTATTAATGCCTTTGACAGTGGTGACGTAATTTTGACAGTGGAGTGTCGCTGTTTGATTCGTACTCGTAATAAGGACTTCAGGTCTGTGGTAAAACTGTGTTTCGTGTTTGTAAAGTACACCCATCGTAAATGTATCCGTCATATACAAACAAACAAAGAAAATGTCGTATCTTGTGTCTGTTCTATTTGCAGATTTTGGAATTGTACCCTCGTAAAATTACAAGTACGTTCCGTTTTCCTTTACGATTTTATAATTACGGATGCGTGAATTTTATTTATGCACAAAACATTATGACAGTGATTTTATTCTATATATTGCAGGGCTATTTAATTGGTTTGCCATGAAAAGTTCATGAAAAGCAGAGAGAGATATGACTTTCAATGTAAGTGATAACACAACAGCATAAAAGAGCTTATATGCTGTATTTGTGCTCATAAAGACACCCACGTTGACTTTTTCTACATTAAAACATTAATATGTTGCATTTCGAAACTACATAACATCAGTGCAATGTACAATGGGCTTTTTTTTTACAAGCATACTCAAATGTTGAATTTCGAGGCACAAAATCAGTGTATTGCTTGGTTAACAAATATTCAGTAACACTTTATTTTAAGTTTTCTTTGTTACACAAGTTCTATGTAATTACTATAGTAATTAAAACTGATAATTACAAGTAACTTACCAAGTACTAGTTACTAACAAGTAACTAATAATTACTAGTAATTATAACCCTAAAGCATACAGTAAGTACATATAACTGTTCATTTAAGTGCATGTAACTATCCAATATTTATTATTATCACCAATGCTGAAAACATTAGTGCTGATTTGTATATTTGTGCAAACTGTATTTTGCATTTCTTAAGTCTTGATGAATATTAGCATTTGAATATGTAATACAAAACTTTGTTAACTTTGCGTCTTTGCTTTCACTTTTAATTAAATTATAATGTCTTGCTAAACAAACAAAATGATTCATTTAAAGCAATTACTGACCCCATAAAAATGATGATCATGTGGTTGTCAGGGTATTATACCTAGTTATTTCTTAATGATTAATTATTGGCACAGATCAAATGTGGCGATTCCCAATATACAGTGTGACATTCTGCTCTACAGATGCAGGTTTGCTGTTACTCACACTGAAGGTGCTGGGAAAACCTCCGACATAAAACACGGTCTCCTCAGCTGGAAGGTTAAGCAGGCCTTTTTGCCCTTTTGCCTCCATGATACGTTTAATTATATTGTTCTCATCTTGATCCGTAGTCATAGACATCTGACCGTACTGCAGAGTCCTAAACACACACACACAAAACATAAAGTAAACAGAGCTAAACAAATAGCATCACATGCATGTAAGTAGTTATGTAAGTAGTAATGTTTTGCACCTCTCCAGGATGAGTTTGTTGAAGAAATCATTCTTCACGTCCTCATCCATTAGCACATCCACTGAACTTCCTCCCACATTAAAGTGCCAGCGCAGCTTTTTTCCGTTTAGAGTCACTGCCATGTACTCCTTACTGGACTACAGCACACAGAGCACAGACGCAAGTGTTCAAAGTTACATAAATCATTTATTATGAGGAACTTAAAAAAAAAACGTATAAATAAAACATAATTATTAGGGCTTCCCTGTAATAGTCAATAGTCGACTGACCGTTAATCAGCAAGAGGCTTTGTCTACCCATATTTTATCAGCTGCACAGCAAAAAATGCTATTCCTACTTAGAGTTTTTGTCTTGTTTCTAGCCCAAATTTGTAAATATTCTTAAATCAAGAAGCATTTTCTAGATATTGTAATGTTTTCAGCCAAAATTAAGTGAGTTTTTACTTAAAACAAGCAAAAAATCTGTCAATGGAGTAATCTCATTTCAAAAGGAAAAACTTGATTAATTGTCTTACCCTTCAGACTGATTTGTTTTGCTTGTTTTAAGTCTCTTAATTTTGGCATATCATTTTCATTCATTTTTATTTACAAAAAGTCCAGGCGTTTCTTATAAAATGCCAACTGAAGAGTTCCCACTTAGATATGCCTAGCATTTATAGCAGGTTTGGCATGCTGTCCTGGGAGAGAAACCAGAGCTCGGAGATACTTGAGGCCAAGGCACCCGCCCTGTCAATAAGCATATAAGGGGATCCGAGATTAAGTAGGTCTCGAGAGCTCCCCCTTAGAAAAGGGAGGAAACGGAGGAGTTGGGGTGGAGGGGGGGATTCTTGATCCATTTGGGCCTTGATCCATTTATAGTAAGCTTGGATCAATCTAATTGGATTATTACTGATTACAGATGATAAGGCAGTCATGCTCAATCAGATCACATGCTCCTCTCGAAATTAGTTTGTTAAAACTTCACTTAAAAATGACTCCATATGGACACCAAATAAGAAAATACCACAAATGTTGATCTCAAACACTTTTTTTCTTGTGTGGTTTTGTAGGCAGAACAGTTTTGAATTGATATGCATATACGCTGCAAAAAAGGCTTTACTTCATTCGATTTTTTGTCTCGTTTCTAGTCCAAATATCTAAAAATTTTCTACACTATGTAGCATTTTCTACACAAGCAAAACATAATGTCTTGTTTTCAGAAATAATAGGACAATATTAAGTTAGTTTTTCACTAAAACAAGCTTAATAATCTGCCAATGGGATAAGCAAAATAATCTTCTGTTGAATGGGAAAAACAAGATTATTTTGCTTACCCCATTGGCAGATTATTTTGCTACCCAATTCACCTGTACCGGATGTCTTTGGATTGTGGGGGAAACCGGAGAAAACCCGCGCAAACGCAGGGAGAACATGCAAACTCCACACGGAAATGCCAACTGACCCAGCCGAGGCTCAAACCAGCGACCTTCTTGCTGTGAGGTGACAGCACTACCTACTGCGTCATTGTGTCACCCCAAAAACTAGTCAAATAAATAATAAAATGTTAATGCAACCTCCATATGAGCTTTCCATTACAAAGTCACAAACACTAATTCTGACAAGTAGCACTTTATCACTTATTAAGCTGAGCATTATAAAAGTCTTTTAATTGCATTACTATGATTTAAATGGTTTATTAATAAATGGCTAGTTAGATCACTTACGATTAAAATGAATAACTAGTGTTGAGAAAAAGGAACATACTTTAAACATAACTTTGTCTAGTTTTCTTTTCATTAAACAATTGTCGTTGTATTGCTTAAAGGTGATATAATAACTGGACTTCTGTTGAGTGTGATATGCTTTGCATACTAAAGAAGCATTTTTGCAGAAATAGATAAAGCTGATAAAAATGAAAAGGCCTGATTGTCTAAAATGAACTTGAGCTCTGCAGCTAAACGTCCTGTTAGATGTGCAGTTGAGAAAGTCTTATGCTTTTAATGTTGTGCAGAGAATTAGTAGAAAAAGAGGATGTATGTATGGGTGCGGCCAATGGAGTACTGGAGAATGATTGAAAAGTGAACTCCACCTGTTAATATCAGCTACGTATTAAAGCGTGAATCAGGATGGCATCTCCTAAATGTAACTCTTGCATTGCATTGTGGATAACAGAATTTTGTAAATCGAATTATTCAATTGTATCCAATAAATTACTAATAAAAACCCTCTCTTGACCTTTTTGGTTGAAAACACATGAAATTGATTAGTTATTCCACTTGTTGACCAGGGAAACCTTTAGTCGAGGGTAACCCTAATAACTATACATGCAATAAATCATTTAACAAATTGCTTGTTTAACTGATGTTTGCTTACGTCTCGGTTTCCAAGATAGAGGACAAACTGGGGGTTGGTGGCTTCAGTTTGTCGTTTCTTTTTAATGGTAGGACTGGGAAGCTTGATGTACATTTGGAGTGATGAATAGGCTGCCAGGTCTGCCACATTACTGGGTGTCCTCACTTGTACTCCCGATTTACCATTAAACTGCATTGACACGCTGACCTGAAAGAAAGACAGTATCAGTCATTGAATGCAAACTTTGAACGCTTTGGCCTCTTGAAGCATAGTTTCATCAACTTAAGACAGCTTAAAATGAAAGTTATAAGATAAGCTTTTCTTTCCTCTTGAGACACACTCATAAAACAGAAACGTATAACTTTGAATCCAAATCCTCTTAATGAATGTTAGGCAGTGTTAATCAGGGCAAAATCAGTTTTCCATAAAAACACTGCAATTTGAATGGCATCTATGCTCGTGTTAGTCTATCCATTTCTCCTTATCTCAAGGTTCACATATATGTCAATCCGGCCCATATCCAGAGCAGATTGTTGTTATGGTCATCAATAAAAGACTTATTCCTGAAAATACATCAGTGACGAGACAATTGTCTTGGTCCAAGTTGATATTGTTGACTGAACACTATTCTTAACATTACTATTCTCTTTTTCTTCTTCTCTGTTAAGCTGCCTTGACATACTCTTAAAAAAAACTGTAAATTAGCAATTTTCTGTATTCTGTGATTTCTGTTTTCCTCATTTATTTATGCTTTTTAATTACATTATGGGACCTTAATCTTTCTCACAGCAACTTTTAACCTTGAAAAGTTTTAAAAAGTGACTATTATTAATATTTTTAATAGTTTGAAGTTGGTGTTGTCCATTATGGTACAATAACCTTGTAATGAACTTCCGGTAAATTCTGTTATTTTATAGATTTATTCCTCTATATATTGTTTCTTATAGATAAGGGTTGGGCGATGTCGACCAATTTGGTATCGTACGATGTCTAATGTGAAACACCGGGATGGAAGATGGCATCCCTGTCATAGGCTGAAGTGAATTAATTATTTATGAATAATTAATTCGTTCATAACGAATTAATTATTTGTAGCCTACCGTTTCAACTACCTGACCTGCATGGGCTTTGTTTTACCCATAAATAAATCATAAACGAATAAAGATAAGTTACACACAAATTACCACCCGTCAATCACTTTTTCTGCGGGACTCTCGCATGAATGAGCAGAGCAAACTGTGTCGGTATAATGGCGTCCACAAACTTGGTTGGTAAAAAAGGTGCACAACCATAGTATCTGAGGTTGTCACTAAAATTACTAAGTACAAGTGTGAAAGTGAAAGATGGAACCAGTGTACTGATGATGTGACTTGTTATCTGAAAGATTCAAAAGACCGAAGAGTTGTTAGATAGACACAAGCTT